AGAAAAAGGATATTCCCAGGCAACATGCATTCACCCTTCAGTGGTGTAAGCACAGTGGTGGTGCAAGGAAGGAAGCGGGGTGAGCAAGGAGGAGGATGTGACAAACCCCACCCAGGATGCAGTAGGAAGCTATGCTGAACAAACTCTGACTCTATCTGGCTTTGTAAATTCAACAGCTGGGGGAAAGCTGAGAACAGACTACACCCGCTAATTAGTAAGAAAAGTGGTAAATCCAGCCCTGATCTTCAAAATCACTCATCTGACTGGGTGGGTGTTTGCCTCTCCAAGGTCTTCCAGTGCTGCAATCCCCCCATGCTTTCCCACCCACATCCTCTCAGGCTCCCCACAGTTGCTATACACACTTAGAAAAGAAGTAGTCTTGGGGAATATAGAATTTGAAGGCCTCTCGAGGGGTGTGACAGTCTTCCCCTCACTGCTGCCTCCCAACCTACAGATCGCTCACTGCTCATGTACAGAGAGGCCTTAATAGTTTAGTGGCAAGGCAGCATGGCTGGTTTCTAACCTTAAGTTATAAGCACTTCCAAGTATACAGAGCCCTAGAAAAATAGACTAGCTAGAGCCTAGCCAAAACCTATGAGTTTGTTAGTCTTGATTGACCCAGAAAATAACTCTGGTGACAGTGTTTGGATAGACTTGAAGATAGCACTACAAAGGACTATTTATTAGAAGTATCACAAATCCATACCCTTGCTTGCCATCCTATGCTAGAGACAGCATGTACATGGCCCTTACAGAATGAACAAAGTGGGCTTTGGTGTTGGCTCTTAACTGGGTTTCACTTCCAGTTCCTACTGGAAAAGGTCTGAAGGCTCCTTTCCTGGTTTCTGCCATCTCCTTCCTTCCTTTTACTGTTGCTTGAAAAGCAATGGAAGCTAGTGCTATGGCAATGAGCCCTTTGCAATTCAGTTGAGCTTATAAAACTATGAGTGGCTAGGATCAAGTGACCTGCAAAGGCTTCCACTTTGTACCTGGGTGTGGTGTTAAACAGCAAAGTGTTTATCATAGAGCTGTATGCACAAAATATTACCAAGATAACAGAAGACACACATTGCCAGCCACTTTAGAGGATGTGCTCTTAGAAACTTTGAGGTAATCTGATAGATTTATTACTTGAGTACTTTTAAATACATTTTAAAATTTGAATTTTTCCATCAACTTGAACTCTGAGTGTGCAAGGGAAAGAGAGCATACAAAGGGTGGCCTGAGGATGAAACAGTATCATAATTTTTGTCAGTGCTGTGTTGGACTCTGCCCTCTCCTGCTGAAAAAGTTTGGATTTATCTTTCTGTCACTGCTTAGTGATATAGAAGCAGCAGAGCTGTTATGTGTGGCTACATTGTAGAAATTGCCCAAGTTGCTAGCTTAAGGAACATCACGTGGCCCTGAAAAATTCAAGTGTTTCTACCCACAAACCACTTTCTGAAGTGTAGTGTATCTCTGGGCAACTGTAGTCAGTGTTCCAGTTTCACATTTTATTGGCACTTTGAACAAACAAGTCAGAGAAATATTTGGCAGATGGTATGCTGTGGCCATTTCATTTCTTATTAGATTCCTTATTATAGCAATTCATATGCGAAACTATTTCTGAATTATTTGACACATAGTATAAGGAAGTTTTTAATTGAATTCAGCAATATCCAATGGACACTGAAACTCTTTCTAGTTCAAGGTGATAATGTTCCTTCTGTCTTCATAATCCTGAAAAGGAGAATGTCACCATGCAGTATCTGGAGAGAACCACCTGACTGTGAAAATCCCAGGCTCCTGTCTCTAGAGTCCTTTCCTATAGAGAGTGTTTAGCATCAGACAGTTATGTTTCTGTCAGGGAGGGAGAAATAATGAAGGCAGCTATTGTACTTTTACTGAATGTGAAGTGCTCAGCAGCATAATTAAATCCATAAAATGGTGAGTCATGATCACCACACAGCAGCCAGCCAGGAAGCAACTGACAGACCAGTGTTTATTTGGGACCAGCAGCTGATGTGGTTCCTCCATTAGCACTTCTGCAGGCCTCTTCTGGTTTGTGGCCACCAAGTGCATCATTTCATTTTAAGAACTCAAAACTTTGATGTATGTTCTAAAGGTTGTCTGAGGAAACAATCTAAAAAAAAGGATTTAGGCCTGGGAGATGTCTTTCCAGAAGTTTTGCTGTCTTGTTGGTTATCAGGGTCTGCAATCTAACAAAAATGAAGAATTCTGTCTAAGGCAGAAGTGGTCTCTTTTTGTCACAGAAAAGGTGGCATTTGGAAGCTTGTAAAAGTCTGTCTCCCACTTATAATTTGAGGATATGTTACTGTCAGGCATAGGTTATAGAATGTGGTGAAGCAAAGTAATCAAAATTTTAAAATCTTTCTTTGCAAATAGAGTGCTGAACATTCTTGATTCTTTGAGAAACAAGATTATAATGTAGTTTGTTTGAGTGTCAGGGCCAACACCATTTTTTTTGAGCATGAAAGAACTGCAGAATTTAATATAAGGTACTTTCTGCCCCTTTGCCAAAGAGATTCTGCATGAATCAGCTTTCTGTTACCGTGAGAAAATACATGAGCTATCAACTCAAAAAGAGGAAAGGTTTATTTTAGCTCAGTTTCAAATGTCTTAGTCTGTGGCTGGTAGGCTCCATTGCTTTTGGGCCTGTGGCAAGGCAGAAAATCATGGCTTTTGGAGCATATGGTAAAGAAGCAGCTCACCTCATGGTGGCCAGGAAGTAAAGAGAAAGAGGAAGGAGCCAGGATCCCAATCTCCCATTCAGGGACATATTCCCAGTAACCTAACTTCTACTAGGCCCCACGTCCTAAAGGTTTCACCATCTTCCCATAGAACCACAGTCTAGGTACCAAGCCTTTAACACAGGCTTTTGGGTGACATTCAAGATCCAGACTATAACAACTTTGAAGTAGAAAAGAATATGCTTGTGTGTACAAGCATACACACATGCACAGTAATAAAAGAGAAAAAAAAATAAGGATAGCTTGGAAAGGTAACATTTAAAATTAGTTTAGAAATTAACATAATGTGAGAATAAAGGGAAGCTTTAGAAGATGGTTTGTGGGAAAAACTCTTAGGTTGGATTCCAGTTACAGAAACAAAGACAAAAATAAAGGATCTAATAAGCGTCCACTGGCATCTTAACTCTCTACCCCTTTGTACACAAATTTTAGACTTGAAATGGTGCTTTTTTCCTTCAAAATTAACTTATGTAATCATATACCATATATCCCTTTGTAAAAAATACATACAGTGAATCGAAGACCCTAGCTCAAAGGCAAAACTCCTCCATTAATAACTAAACTTGATGTAGAATTGTTTTGTGAGCACATGAGAAATTTTCCACAGGGACATTTGCAATCATTGCCTTGTTCTTTCTTCTCTTCCTCCTTTCTTCTCATTTTCTTGGATTTTTGTCTCCAATCTCAGGTCTTGCCTTGTTAAGCACTTAGGCCTCGCAGGATTGCTGTGTCACTCGCCATTTTCCCCCATGGCCACCCAGCATGCCAACGGATTGTATCTCTAGACAAGACACCATTCGCTTTTAAACATAGCTCTGCAGACTCCTCCCCAGTGAGTGCCTTCCTCTCAGAAATGCAGAGTTACATTGGGATTATAGGAAATTTTAATGAGTGTTAGGATTATATTTGAAAAACGGTTTCCCCTCAAAAGTGGTTTCCTTGTATTTAGAGAGTCACTAACTTTATCTCTGTAGACCAAAGAGCAGCCTTGGTTGCATAAGTAATCATTGTGTTAGGAAGATAAAATGTTAAATTACAGATCTGTTCTCATCTGTGCTGATAAAACCATGAGACCCAACTCCACAGAGTTTTTGTCTCTTGTTTCAGAATTCAGCCTTTCAAGGACTTGCAATGGCAGAGACCTAAGGAAGAAGGATTTCTGAATAGTGTACGCCTGGAATTCTTAGCTTAGGAAAAACAAAAAGTTAACATGAAATTCTTAAATAGATTATCCTGTTATCATTTTTGCCACCCATATTCTCTGATGCTGTGTCTGCTCCTGTCCCCCATCCCCTATTAATGCATGTTGAAGTTAGTGTGTATATCTCACATCTACCACATGCAGTAAACACTTCCTGTACAAAGGTGCTTGAAACAACATCTGTCATGACATCAAAGGAGGTGTTATGGCCAAGTGCAGCTGGGAGACTCTTAATAATGCAGTGGTTTATAGATGAAGCTGTAAGGGAAAGAAATCTGTGTGATGTCTGAACCTTTTCCCAAGAAAACACATTTCCTTCCTTTCTGTTTTTATAACAGTGTTTTGCATATATTTATGCAATTTCTGCACATCAGAAGCTTGAGAACGTTTCATAAGAAGTATAGTTTTGGTTCTGTGCTTAGAGAAGTGCCATTATAGTGTGTTGCTATGGTGTTAAATTCCGCCTCTTTGATGGGAAACCCTTCTGTGAATGTGCTGTTTGTTGACTCTGAACCAGTATGACAATTTCTGATTGAGGGTCTAGAAAAGTTATAATAAACTCATTACACATTTAAAAAGGAGAAGCTCTGCCTCCAGAATATGAATCCAAACTCAGAAAAGTGTTCAGTGAACAAGAACAATACTCGGTAGAGTTTCAAATTGATAGAGCTTTCCAATAGAAACTAATTTGTTCCAGCATTGAAGTGAACATAATTAACAGAGACTTTCTTTCTTAGGCCTATTAACCACTGAAAACCATGCCAACATTGTAACTGTAAGCAGTGAAAACCAATATTTATGAGGGGGATTGTGCAAGAGTTTGTGTGACAGATGGGCATTTTATCACTGTTGATGTTTGGAATTCCCCTGAAAAGTAATGCAATATCTTGTTATTTATGAATGAATGAACAAATGATTGTGCCTTGCTGACCACATTTTCTTTAAAAAGGGGTCTAAATTAATCTTTCTCTGTTTAGCCTCTGTGACTGTTAGGTAGCCTCACATATTCTGATGCAAAATCTGAAAAGTCATAATTGTTTTTATTGCAGATACAGATCCACGTGTTTTAGAAAAGCAAGAATTACAGCAGCCAACATATGTTGCCCTCAGTTACATTAATAGGTAAGTCATTTTCAGAAATCTAGCAACCTCATTTGCCACTTATTTACTTTCTACATGTATCTTTTTAGAAGTCTTAAAATTTGTTTGTATGAGATTATCTTGAAGCAATCTTTATATGGAATTTTCTGGTGTCTGTTGGAGAGATGTAGAATTGTAGTCCTCTATGCGGCTAACTGTGATTTGGGTAAAAACTGTCATCTGTTAACATACAAATTCATGTAATACTAAGCCTTACTGCCTTAAACATATTCTTTATAGCTGGTTTGTCTAGGTCAGTGTCCCATCCAGAACATAGCATTGGACCTGGGTGTTTTGTTTTTGTCTCTCATGTCTCCATTAATTTGATACCATTCTTTTGATTGAAAATGACTTCTTTTGCATATAATAGTTGTACAAGAGGGTGCATTGTGATATTTACATATGTGATTACAATATATCTTAGATTTACCCCATCCATCATTCTGCCTCTTCTCCCCCTCTTCTTAGAACAATTTCAACAAGTATCATGGTTCTATTTTCATATATGGTTACAAAACACATCCATCATATACACCCTCAGCCCCCCTTTCCTCATGCCCACCTCAATCCCACTGGTACCCACTCCTGCCCTTCATTTAAATTAAGTGTATATTGATAGTCTGAGGGGGTTTTGCCTTGGTACTTGCAGTCTATATATATATATATATATATCATGCTTTTATCAAATTAAACCCCTCGCCTCCATTACTTACTCATTCTCTATCAACGTGCTCCCCTAATATTCAGCAGTTTACTATACAGTGCATTATATTCATATAGAGATGGGCTGTTTCAATATTTTTCATTCTCTAACATTTTTTTACTCTCACCTACCTCTGTAGCCCCCTCAGACTAATACAGTTTTGTTCTCTCTGTCACAATATATATATAGATATATGATCATATGTTTCTATATATGCATTTAACTTATCTAGCTCCACATATGAAAGAAAACATGTGACCTTTGATTTTTTGAGCTTGGCTTACTTCGCTTAACATGACGTTCTCCAGTTCCACCCCTCTACCTGCAGACAACATAATTTCATTCTTCTTTATGGCTGAATGAAACTCCATTGTGTTTATATACCACATTGAAAATGACTTCTTGATGAGATGGGCCAGTTGTCTCACTAAATGCTCCCACCCTCTCGATTTTCTCTTGATTGTTTCCCCTCAGTGCCTTTTAATGGGTTCCTCTGTCTTCTTTACGTGCTGTAAACTAAAAGTCAGACTTTGAGAAGATGGGTATTGAACTGGACACCTCATTATAGTTGGAGGCCTGAGAAAATAACAAATCTGACAGATCAAGTCCTGGCTGGTAGAGAATATGTACTTGACCATATGGTCCATATGTACTGAACCAGTAAGTTTACTAATGATCTTTCTGTGAAGAAAAGGACTGTGAAAGGTTGCCAGGTTACTCCTTATGCACAGGATACCTTTGTGGGGATGGTGCCACATTCAGAGCACCATACTTAACACACAATGAACCCCAGATATTTGTTTATTGTTGGTAAGTAAAAATCTAGTGAGCAGAAGAGAAGGCCATGAAACCAAGGACTATCAGCCTGTCCATATTGAAAATATAATGCAAGAGCAGTCTTGAGGACCTTTGATAAGAGAAAAGAAACATTGCAGCATCAAAATTAAGATGAAGTCAGTCCAGAGTCAAGAAGAGAGAATTAGGGTTAGGTGATGTGAAAAATCCAGCTTGACAACAATATCCTGAGTATAGCAGAAGAGTATTGTTTTTAAAAATAATATTGAACAAATATGAGGCTTCTTTTTCCTTAAACCTCAGAGGGACATAAACTCAAATTGTGCTGAATAGTGGAGACGTGAGAGTTAATGTTTCCCTGTTCATATATGTTAAGGCAACCCTGAACATTTAGGCATCTAAAATTTGAGATGAAACTTTCTTTGGCAATGACATTGACTGATCAATCAACAGTGTTATGGACCTTAACATGGAGCTTGCTTTGGGGGTTTCTTTTTTAAAGGAAGAAGATAATTGAGTAGAAAACATTGCCTTTATTTAACCTATTTCAAATTGTTCTACACTACTGACATAATGTGTTGAACACAATAAGTATTTATAGATAGAAAGAGAAAATCTTCAATTCCCTTAAAAGTGGATCTATCTGGGGTTGGGGGTTTGATAGTACAGTGCTTGCACAAGGCCCTGGCTTAGGTCCCCAGTACCAAAAGTGTGGCAGAGAGGCAGGTTTATTTAATGAATGGCTTTATGGCTTTTGGATTTTGCATTCAACCTGCTGCAATACTGTGTGTTATATATAGCTTCCAGAAAACCTCACAGCATACTTGTGAGAAAACAAGAAAGAAAAAAGCAAATGATGGAATTGAAGGGCATTAGGTTCAAACCCACAGGTAGATTCCTCCCAAATCTAACCACTGTCCAGCCAGACTTGTTGGTATCAGAGAGTTAAGAACTTGTTAAGAAAGAGGGCTTGCTCTGGCAGCACATATACCAAAATTGGAGCAATACAGAGATTAGCATGGCCCCGGCACAAGGATGGGTGAAAATATGGAATGTGAAGTGTTCCATATTTTAAAAAAGCATTTGGAAAACTAACATTGGGAAAACAAGATAGGACAACTAAACAGAGGGGACAAAAACATTAAAAAATGCAGAATAATTATCATGCCCTAGATAATTGGAGGTTAGCAACCTAGTAAGATAAAACAGTAGGATACTACAGAAAGTAAAAACCCTGGAAGAGAGGTGAGTAGGAACTCCTTCATAATATATTGCTACCATGGAGTTGGAGGCCATGTGCAAAGTGAATCCCAGCATAGCAGGCTCCAGAGACAGTGGGAAAGGACACCCTAGCATCTACAGTCAATAGGAAAGAAAGGCAGAATACAGTGAGCCTGCAGGAAAACTACCTCTACTATGACTCATCCATGAATCTGCATCAAATGCTTGCTGAGAAAGCATGGGCTTCCTCTGGGTATTTTCTTCAAGCTATTATCCAAGTAATTCAGGTAGCTGCCTTGAGGTGACAAGTTAGCTTGTTAATAAGTGACTCTCCAGAAAAAGAGGAGTTAGGTAGCTTAAAGACATGATAACATGCATGGCCAAAGTTCTTAATCATACTACATCCTCTACAAAATACTTTTACTAAAATAACATAAATTAGAATTTCCAAATTAACTTTAATTTTAAAAATATATTTAGCATTTGGCATAAGATGTAAAGAGTTACCCTTTGTAGGTACAAATTGGTATTTTTTCATGTTCAATCCTTATCATTTACTGCTTAATGAAAATTTAGTATTTCCCTATGATTATAGAATAGCTCTAATTCTTTTTACAGGACTCCCTGCACTGCTTGGTGTATTAGTTGTAGGTTTGACCTCCAGAAATGTTTTTTTCTTAGCTTAATATTTGCTCTGAAGGTTAAACACAAATTTTATAATGTGTTCATAGATCAGTAATTCTGAGAGATTCAGCAATCCTCCCCCATCCACCCACCCACAACTCATTTACTTGCAGTAAGATACTGTGGTAATTAAGACTGGGAAATCATGAGTAAAGTAAAATAGATTTCTAAGCTGGGCACAGTGGTACAATCCTGTAGTCCCAGCTACTTGAGACACTGAGGGAGAATGATCTCCAGTTTGTTTTTTCCCATACTTCTGACGTATTTCTCTCCTCCCTTTCTTTGAGATGTAGAACTCTTAAGTGGTTGAGAGTATGAGAAGCAGAGTCAGACTGTTGAGGTTAGAGTCCATCTGCTGCTCACGAGTCATGTGATAGAGTTGGCAGCTCTCTACTTCTGTTTTCTCATCTCTAATAATGCCTCTGAGTATTAAATCAATTAGTGCTAACTGTAAAGTACTCAAGCCAGCACCTGTGACATAAGGCTATCTAAGTAAAAGACTTTTTATTTCTCTGTGAAGTCAATAGTGAGAGGAAGAACTGCAGAGAAGCACTGCTTTGGAATGGAACCAGAACATTTTCCACAGGTAATAATCTCCATGAAGGCAGGACATCTTCTGCCCCCACCGTTCCCCACAACTGGGGAGCCTCCAGAACACTGTCTTGCACATTGCAGACTCTCAATAAATATTTATTTAGGAAATGGGCAAATTTGGTTTTTGAGAAAGTAAGTGAATGAACAATTCCAGAATGGCTAGGAGTGTGGCTCAGGGGTAGAGTGATTGCCTAGAAAGTACAAGGCCCTGAGTTCAAACCCCAATACCATACACACACCCCAAAAAATAAATAAAATGGTTTCAAAAACTACAGAAACACTTCTAAGAGAAATCAGGACCCTTTCCTGCCCATGCACATAGAAGGACCTATGGACAAAAATCAAAGTTGTGTATTTTTTTTCAGCAGTCATCTGGCTTGCAGCATAAAAAACATTAAATGACGGCTGTTACTAATTGTCCCCCATAAATACTAGACACATGTACATGATAATGGCTTTGAGGCTCTAGACGATAGGTAGTACAAGACTGCAATCCCTGAGATGGAGCTTAGGAGGCAAGTTCCATGGTCACCTGGCTCTCACTGAGGATGGCGTAGTATAATGAGCTGTAGCCAAACCACAGCCCAACAACCCCACTGAGCTGAGAAGGCAAATTCAGAAATACAGGTGCTGTAATCTATGTATTAGAGTGGAGGAGAAGATGACCTGGGATGAGAGAGCTGTGCAGGCCTTCCAGAAGTCTCCACAAGTGTCCTCCATGAGCACATGGCTGAGGGTAGGTAGGCTGCCCATGATCAAGGTAAGTGAACATGATCTTGGTGAATTTCATCTGAGAGCAGCCGCTATAGGGTGGGGATGGAATAGAGAGACCATATAGCATCCTGGCCAGCCTGGAAACAACTAATAATACCCTAGTCATGCAATTAAGATAACAAATAAGACCTCAGATTATAAACAGGGACATTGCTCTAGATTATGGTTTGGTCTAGACTTACCCCCAACAGTGCCTAAAGCCAGACCTCTG